AATTCAGAAATTTCTCGCTTCATTGTGGGCCACCAGTATGTCTTTCTTAAATCTTGGAACATTTTATTACTGCCAGGATGCATGGTATATGTGGTTTCGTGAGACTCACGCATTAATCGTTCCCTCACTTCGCCACTAGGTACTACCAAACGATTCCTGTAGAATAAAATTCCATCTTTTATAGTGAAATCTTGTCTCTCCCCCTTAGAGACAAGTTCACAAGTCTTCAAACAGTAGTCATCACGTTTTTGTGCAACGTGAATTTCGTTCTCAAGGGTGGGCTGAATTCGGAGTTCGGCTATCATCTTTCGGCTCAATGCGTCTGTAACTACGTTAGCTTTGCCAGGGTGATAGTCGATGTAACAATCGTAGTCTTTGATCAATTCTAACCATCTTCTTTGTCTCAGGTTTAACTCTTTTTGAGTTAGCAGGTATTTCAGACTTTTGTGATCTGTGTGAATATATGTCGTTTCTCCAAAGAGATAATGACGCCATATCTTCAGAGCAAATACAACTGCTGCTAACTCAAGATCGTGAGTAGGATAGTTACACTCGTGAGGTTTCAACTGCCTTGATGCGTATGCCACGACCTTTCCGTCTTGCATAAGTACACATCCCAAGCCATTATGAGATGCGTCACTAAAGATTGTGTAGTCTACACCTGGTACCGGTTGTGTCAGTATAGGTGCTTCTGTCAAACATTTCTTTAGTTTCTCAAAACTTTGCTGACATGCATCGGTCCATAATGATAATTTTAATAATAATAAGAATAATATTATTAAGAATAGTAATAATAATAATAACTATAATAATACTAGTAATAATAATAATATAGATAATAATAATAATAGATATATTAATAATAATAATAGTAATAATAATAGTAACAACAACAACAACAATAATAATAATAAAAGTAAATATAATAATAGTAGCAATAATATTAATAGTATAGTAATAATAATAATAGTACCCGGAGTAATAATCATAATTAAATTGTAATAATAATTATAATAATAATAGTAATAGTGATATTAATAATATTAATAATAATAATAACTATATTAACAATAATAATAATAATAATAGAAAAAACAATAATAATAGAAATATGATAGTTATAGTAATAAAGATAGTAATAATATGAATAGTAAGAATATTTATAATCATAATCATGATAATATTAATAAAAGTAGTAATATTAGTAATAATAATAGTAATAATAATATTGATAATAATAATAATATTAAAAATAATATTAATAATAATGTTAATATTAATAGTAATAATAATAATTGTATAATAATTATAATAATAATAATAATAGTAATAGTAATAATAATAATACTAATACTAATAATAATAATAATGATAATAATAATAATGATAATGATGATGATGATGATGATGATGATGATAACAATAATAATAATAATAATTTTGTTTAGATTTGATTTGACCTGATCCAATCTGGTTTGATCTGATTAAACTAATATGATCTGATTAGATTCAATCTGATCTAATTTTAATAAGAATAAATTATAAGTAGAAAAAATAAATTAAACGCGGCTATAATTTCAAATTTTAAAGGCCAAACAAGAGAGGGGTACTCGGGTATATCCTTCGTGTGTAGTTGTGCCAGTGCTCTTGAATGCACAGAATCATTTGACGGGACAACAGAAATAAAGCCTCCAAGCAAATGCAAGATTCTAAACACCTTCCACACATCCCCCGTAAACCAGTGAAGCGAGCGAGCGAAAAGGGGAAGAGAATGACGAAGGAAGAAGCCATTAGCTCCTCCGGCGATCCTATGCTTCCGCCCAAGTCTTCCTCTCCTCCGCCCCCATCCACTCCCGCTGCTAGGTAAAACCAATCCCCATCGGAACTGCAAAACCCTAGCTTACAATTTTATTTACTCTTCCTGTGTCCCCTTCATTGCCGTTTTAGGTCCCCAGAAATTCCTTATCGAATTTGTAGCTAAATTGGTTTGATTCTTTGCAATGGTGTTCTTCTCGAACCCTTAGGAATTCTTTCATTTCCCCGTCTTCATTTTGTTGCCCCTCTATGTTATTGGTGATTTTTTTGAAGAATTCTTTATTACTATATTTTCATTTCCAAAACGAGTTATTTCACATAAATCCCTGGACTCTGCTAGACGCTAGCCTCAAAATTTAAACTTGTAAATGAGAGCAATGAGGCAGGACTCGTGAGAATACTAAGAAAGAGGGAAAAGATTTTGTTGACATGTAAGCTGTCAAGATGTGTCTATAAAAGGTTGTTGGTCTATAAAAGCTTTTCATCAATCTACGAGCTGATTTTAATATTTTTTGGTCTCTTCTTTCTTTGTAATACTCCTTCATAGATTATTAAGAAGGCAGTGAGTTGAGCTTTCCTTGACTAGAAAAACAAACAGTGAAGTCAGGACGGGATAGTAAGAGAACAATTTGTCAAAGTTATTTTTCTATCCCAAACACCATGAATATTTAAGTGACAAGAGTCTTAATAGATTGTATTACTTCTTTTCAGCTCTGCCGGGGCGTCTTCTCCTGCTTTTCCATTGAATGTTGGAAGCACAGACTGGGCAGCACATGGCTCCAAAGCAGGGTCTGTTTCCCGTGCTGGTTCACTGCCCATAGGGACTTCTTTGAGTACCAGTGCTGGTGGTTCTGTTCTTGGATCATCACAGCCTTCATGTAGACCCTGGGAAAGGGGTGACCTACTGAGACGGCTCTCAACATTCAAACCCACAGACTGGTTTGGAAGGCCTAAGGTTTAAATATAGTCCCCCATTTACTATCAGCATCATCATGAATAATGTCCAACAATCAAAGTGCCATAATTGGTTCTTTTGTGTGTGGATCCAATTTTCTGTCCATTTTTACGCTATGGTGGTACATTTTACATTTAGATAGACAGATGATTTTGAACGTGGTTTCCATATACAATAGACAACTACATCTCTTGGGCAGGTTATGTCTCAGCAGGGGACTAGGCTGCCCAAAATCAAGTTCACTTAATTGTTTGGTGTTGTCTCATTATTTAGCNTAAGATTTTTTTGTATCTCTTACATCCAGTGCATCCTAATCTATTTGATCTTTAGGTAAATTTGTTTATGCATTTTGAAGCTGGATTTTACTATTTGGTACTTGAGTGTTGTCTCATAATTAAACGCATCTTGCTTAAAATAAGTTTTTTTGTACCTCTTACTTGTAGTGCATCCTAATCTATTTACTCTTTAGGTACATTTGTTTTATGCATTTGGAAACCCATTGTTTAGAGATAAAGGTTGTGGTTCATTTCTTTCCTTGACCGGTCAATATCCTTTTAATATGAATCCTAACTTAGAAACTCTCTGATTAAAAAACTTGAATTTAACTAGCTAACAAGATTATATGAGTTAGGGCCAAGCTGTCTTAGTGTCTTTCAGTCTTTCCTTTTGGTTGGTGGAACCGTTTTCGAGACTGACACTTCAAGGTTAATTACCTCTTACTGCATCGGTGCACCTTCTCTTCATTTATTTACTTTTTCAGCACTTATCATTGATATACTTTTTCTGTTAACTAAAACAAATACGAGGTATTTTAACTTGATTTTATTAATTTACACCCGGAATATCTAAGATGAGGATTACATGTTATCTCTCTCTCTCTCTCTCTCTGTCACACACACACACAGTCACCCACACACCCATCCATATACTCCCTCCACAGAATTAAAGTCCTTTCCAAATTGAGCATCCCAAAATTAAAGTCACATTTCCTTATTTGGCATAACTACACTCACTTAAAATACTATATTACCTCTACCTTTTCAATTGTTTTTTCCATCTTTTCAATCACTTTTTACACAATCTCTCTTATTTCAATCACTTTTAATTCCTCTCTCCTACTTTTTCCATCTTCTCAAATCTCAATGACTTTATACACACTCTCTCTTTTTTCAACCACTTTGAGTCAGGAGTAAAATGAGCAAGTCAATGCCATTCTTAACATTGCCATAGTATGTGAAGTCAAAGCGGGGCTTTAATTTCGGGACGGAGAGAGTATATGTGTTAAGTCATCAAGAGTATATCAATGTCCTAGGATTAATCACCATGATCATTGATCACACACCTAGGAGGCTAGGACATATATCAGTATATGCACAAGTGGCAAAACTAGTGCTTATTTAGCACTTTTCTTGTCTATCTGGATGTTCTTGTGATATTAATGCTTCTAATCCTCTTTTTTCAGGATGCAGGATCTCTGGCCTGCGCTAGAAGGGGCTGGATAAATGTGGATGTTGATAAGATTGAATGCGAGTCATGTGGTGCAAACCTCAAACTTACTTCCTCAACTACCTGGACTCCTTCTGAAGGTTGATTGTGCAATTAAGTATCTGGTCCCTTGCACAGTTTGCATACTTTCTTTTGCTGACTTGCCTACTTTTCTGTACTGTCCTTTTGATAAGGCTATTGTATTGCTCCCATATTTTGCCCACAGTATTTTACCACATTGTTCACTCTACCTTATCCTTTGGGCACCCTTTTTTACTTCAAAATTTTCAAAAAAAAATCAAGTTTATAATATCTGCCTAAACTTACCCAATATGTCATTAGCCGGGGTCTTCACGGAATAAACCTCTCTATTCCTAAGAGGCTAGGAGTAGTTGTAAGGCCTGCGTACAATCTTATCCTTCCCGGACTTTACTTCTAAATGGGACATAGTGGGTATGTTTGGGGCTTGTTTTTATAGTTTTCTATTTTTATACTCCCTCTGTCCAAAAATTATCTTTCCGTTGCGCATTATGATGTTTAACTTTGAATTTATTTTCAAAGTATTTTATATGAAAAATGGTGTGGAATTAAAAAATAAAAATAACATATTTATAAACTACATCAAAAGCTCTAGAAAACTAGAGGTGACATGACTATATTATTTTGTTAATGGACAACTATAAAAATAACATATTTATAAACTACATCAAAAGTGAATAACGTTTGACCTTGTGAATAGTGAATGAGAAGATATTTTTTGGACGGAGGGAGTATAAGTAATAACCATGAGTGGAGGGGGTTGGGGTGTTGGGCTTTAGGAATGTTGAGGCGCAACTATCTTCAAATTTGGAATCAACAAATCCAACAGCATTAATTCTTCTTCCTATTGTTCCAAACAAGAGGTAGATACACAAATACCCATTTTTGTCTCTTGAATTTTGATTTCTACCTTTTGAGCATGCTAAGACCTTGTCTTAGGTGGTCTACATTCCACACCAAGATTGTCAATACCCAGTGTAGGGGAGGTTTTAAGGTGATCATTTTTTTCTTTCTTTTTTTTGGAGTATTTCTGTCATTATGAAGTGGAAACTTGAAGTATATATTTGAGGTAACCTTTTCTATATAGATATCTATTACTTTCGAGGGACAATCACCACCTGTCCTCTTTGAAACTTCAGCTGGAAGATGAACAATTGAACTTTGATTAACTGGGTCTCAAGAGTTGACCGAGATGAGAGATTTTTTCACTCTCCAAATTATATATCTCCTTTTTTTGGCTCTACACTTCCAACAATCACATTTGGGTGCATCATTTTATAATAGTCATTGGTTAAATTATGTATTTCCATCATCTCCGATGGAGCCAAAATTTCACCATTTTTTGGCTTTGGGGTGTGATGGAATAAATCAAAATGGATCTCTAAACTGTCTGCGCTTCTTTAATTAATGAAGTAGCAGTTAGTCAAGCAATGCAACTTTCGACGTTGAGCCGGGGGTCTCTTTGGAAACAGCCTCTCTACATTCAAGTAGGGGCAAGGTCTGCGTACACACACCCTCCCCAGACCCTACTCTTGTGGGATTTAACTGGGTTGTTGTTGTTGTTTGGTTAAATTATGTATCAACGAATCATTTTATTACCAAATGAGCAATCAATGGACTCTAGTTTCTAACCAAATGCTCAATAGTTCAGAGGTTGATATTTTTAGTTCTATACATTCATGTGATGCGGAATTGTTGGTAATGGTGATGGCGGTGAAATGATGATAAAGTTCATGTTATGTGGGTGCACTTTGTCAAGCACTAAACAGTTATTTTACCAATTGCATTGCTAACTTTTTAACTTCAGTGAACTATGTATATTATGAGCATTTTCTCATCGAGGCACATGGAATCATCTTTCATAATTGTGAATTTTGTGTATCACATTTCTAGTCTTACCCGTTCACTTTAAGCTTGTACTATGTGCCTTTATTCAGCTACTTTTTTCCTTGTCAGCTTACAGTATGCTTGATAAAATGTTGTTGCATGCCTTTTATACCTATTGGTCTAATCAATAAGTTATCCTTTATAGTTGATATAGCCGGTGAAGATTTTGCAAATAAACTTGATGAAGGGCATAAAGTCACATGTCCATGGAGAGGAAATAGCTGTGCAGAAAGCTTGGTCCAATTCCCCCCCACTCCTCCTTCTGCTCTAGTTGGGGGTTTTAAGGATCGTTCAGACGGATTACTTCAGTTCACTTCTCTCCCTATAGTGGCTGCATCTGCAATTGAGCATATGCGAGTTTCTAGAGGTTCAGAAATTGACAGTTTTCTAGCTCAGTCACAAGCTCTTGGAAGTGCTGAAACTTTCTTTAGGCCAGAGGTTGTGTCCGGAGCTGAAAACTCCAGAGATGTTTTCCTCATATACTCTCGTGTAAGATTGTCATACTTTGAACTACTACTTATTATTGTGCCCCTTTTTCATTTCTGAACCCCTTTGTTCAACTTTTTATCACACTCTAGGCCCAGAAGCTAATAAGCCTATGTGGTTGGGAGCCAAGGTGGCTTCCAAATGTCCAAGACTGTGAAGAGTATTCTGCTCAGTCAGCTAGGAATGGATGTTCAACAAGTCCAACACAATATTGTGCTCCTTTACCAGATTCTGGCCGTGGAAAGATGGTGCTGTTTTGTTCAAAGAAAAAGGACACTTTTAAAACCGAAGTTTCTTGTCCCATTTCAAAAGGCGAATCTAGGTCACCTTTGTTGGATTGCAGTTTGTGTGGAGCTACAGTGAGAATCTTGGATTTTTTAACAGTTTCTCGTCCTGCATGCTTTGCTCCCAATAGCATTGAAATCCCCGAAACAAGCAAAAAGATGGGCTTGACACGAGGGGTAAGTGCAGCAAGCGGAATAAGTGGGTGGATTGCTACAGATGGTATGGAAAAGGAGCAGATAGAGGATCATGATGAAGCTACAACGGATGAGAGAAGGCCACTATCAAATAATGGTATGGACATTAATCTTACAATAGCTGGTGGGCTCTCCTCTTCACAAATACCGGCAAATTTAGGTTCTGATCGATTCCAAGATGTGCACAAGAGAAGAGGTCCAATGATAGGACAGCCTTCTAGCAGTGAGGCTGGTAACCGTGCTGCTTCATATGAGTCACGTGGTCCTAGTTCTCACAAGCGCCATTTAGAGGAACGTGGAAGCACTGCTGACCGCCCACAGTTGATGTTACAACAAGCTGACAGTGCCGAGGGAACAGTTATAGACCGTGATGGAGATGAAGTCAATGATGAAAGTCAATACTTGGCTGGTCCTTCAAAACGCCCCCGTGAGTCATACCCTCTAGATATTAATCACTCATCATATGGGAAAAGTGCAGTTGGTGCTGCCTCTATTCTGGCAACTGGTTTCGAGGTTGGAATAGATGGTCCAAGAGATGATCCTTTCAACCAAGGCCACAACCAGGCATTTGGTTTACCAGCTAAAAGAGATTCAACACGTGTTTCATCTGTTATTGCTATGGACATATTTCACAGTGCTGAAGACTCAATGGAAAGTGTTGAAAATTTTCCAGGAGATCTTGGTGATATCCAGTTCCCTTCAACATCGGGTGTAAAAAGCACAGACCCATTTGAGGTGTCTGAGCTAAACTATAGCAATCAAGCACAACAGAGTGTGTGCCCTGCTGTAATTAGGAGGGTTGGTGATATTGGTGGTAGTAGCACAAATGACGAGGAAGTATTAAATGCAGATACTGCAACTGCTCACACAAGGGATGCCATTAGTTTTGGGATTAGTGCTGGAAGCATAGGAATGGGAGCTAGCCATGAAGCTGAAATCCATGGGATGGAAACTTCTGTGCATAGAACTGATAGCGTAGTTGGTGATGTGGAACCAATTGCTGAAATAACTGAAAACGAGGGTCAAACTGGTGAATTTGGTCCTGATCCTGGCCTTATGGGTGACTATGTCCCTGAGGAGATAGACATGGAGGACCGTCATGGTGATAGTCAAGATCTAACATCTCGATTAGTGGGAAGAGCTGACAGCGGTTCAAAAGTTTTTGGCTCAACCAAGGAAGAATCCACGGAGAGTGCTGAGAAGCCTAACCATGGGCCTCCTCTGCCTGATAATAGAGCACATCCATCTTTTTCTCAGAATGCTATTATATTGTCTGTCTACGAGACATCAAAGGAAGAAGTTAACCAGGCTGCCAATGCAGTGGCTACTGAAGATGGTGGACTTGTGGTGGAATCAGGCTTTTTATTTTCGAAGGGGGCAGGTAATGCATCTCTGTCTTTTTGTCCAACTCATGTCCTTACTACCACCTTCTCGTATATGGATGCTAAATCACTAGAAGTGTTGATAAATATGCTGGTAATAAAATCTGACTAATTTGTTTGCCTTCAGTAATTAGACTCTACCCAGTATGATGAAAGAAAGGGTTAACTTAGTGCTCACTACACTTACATTTAGAATGTCATGGTGGCAGCATGATTAATTTATTTGACTTTTAATTAGACTCTGCCTTGTATGATGAAGTAAATGACTAACTTAAACATCTTGGTGGTAATGTCATCATCATATTGAATACTCCCTTCTTCCCGATTTAATTGCCACACATTCTTTTTTGCTGGTTTTTGGGATGTCCCAAAAAAGTTAACATACTTTTTTGTATTCCTAGGAACATAAAGAATATGTGGTACACAATTCTTCTTCTTCTTCTTCTAACAAATTTCAACCACTCCTTACTTTTCAACACTTTCCTTAGATTCCGTGAGGTCAAGCGATCTAAATTAAATCAGGGACGAAGGGAGGATTGTTTTGTTGATGGAATGTTTCCTCGGCTATTGTATCTATATAGAGCTTGTGACATCTCAGCTATTTATAATGGAATGTTTAATGGGCCATTGCAGTTTATCATTTACTGTTTTACTCCCTCATTTAAATAAACTTCTATCTTTGACTTCCATGGAGTTTAAGAAAATTGTTGAAATGTGAAAAAGGAGTGGTTAGAATTTGATATCTGGAGAGAATTTTTTTAGGCCACATAATTCTTTCCTTTTTTAAGAAAGTGAATATTATTTTGGGACGTGTGAAAAAAGGAAAGAAGATTATTCATAGACGGTGGGAGTATTTCAGTATATGATATGATAATGGTTATGACAAATAAATTAATTTCTTATCCAATCGATTTCCTTCCTTCTCCTATCTATTTGATTTGGTTAAATAGTTTCACTTCAATATATTAAATTTTATCTGTCCTTCAGGTCCTCCCAACGGAGAAAGTGGATATAAAGATGCTGTTGAATTTGATCCTGTTAACCACCATAACCCCTTCTGCCCTTGGGTCAATGGAAATGTTGCGGCAGCAGGCTGTACCAGTAGTGGTGGTTCCAGCTCTAGTGCTGGTGCTCTTGCTCTTTGCGGTTGGCAACTAACTTTAGATGCTTTGGATTCCTTATCAATCGGAAACATTCCTGTTCAAACTGTGGAATCTGAATCTGCCGCTTCGCTGTATAAGGTATACAAATTTATTCTATACTCTGAAGTCTGAACCACATAAGTCTTTGTACAATAGTCATCTAGACCTTTTTCAGTTACTTGAGCTAGTATTCATGGAGTCGAGATTTCACTTGTGCTTTCCTGCTAAAAGAGTGTTTTAATGTTAAGAGCATTCATTAAGATTCATTTTTTAGTTGCTATGATCCACACTTGCGTGTTTCTTCTTTGATGTTTCGGTTCACATGGTGTTGTGTAAGAATAATTCTCTATGTTCTGTCATTTAGTGGTTGTGGGTTGGTTAACTCCATTGTTGCAATTAATATTTAAAGGAATTTTTTTGTGTGACCCATTCCCATTTTGTTTTTGTAGGATGATCATCGATCTGCTGGTAAAAGAATCTTGCCTCGAAACTCATTTAGCAAAAGCCGTGGGGGGGATTAACTGTAAAGTCCAAGTGAGTTTGAACCTGATATTCATATTCTGCTACTACAACAATTTCCCTTACTCTGTAATAAACAAGTGTGCTTCACAATTTTTCTGAATCTAATATGAATGTAATGCTTTATGAGTTGTTTTCATTCACTTAATGCAAGATGTGATTTCCCATGACTGCACATTAATATCTATGTTATTAGGTATTAACTTCAAGTTAAGTGCATATCTTTGGAAATTTAGTATCGACAGAGAAAAAAGACCACAATTGTTTCAAAAATGTGGACAGTTTATTAGGAGTTAGTACCAGAGGAAGTACAAATGAACTTTTTTTTGTGTGCACCAGATAGCTAGACTCATTTCCTGTAAGCTCCAGATGAGACTAGTTTTATTCTTCTGTCAAATTATCTGCCTACTCCTTTGCATTTTGCTATTTTAAAAGATAAAACAGCAACAAATGTTGTATTAGTATTTGCTGCCTGCGTCCTTAGAATCAATTTTCACTACATATTACAATTAAATTTTGGGTTTGGATTCAGGATTGTATATGTCACATGACCCGGTGTTTCTTTCCCTTGTGGTGTTCCAATGACGAGGAGGTTCTGTTGCCCGTTTGTGGAGTGACAGAGATGAATTTGTAGGTGCAGCAACTCCTAGTGACTGCAATTCCTTGCTCAGTTTAATTTTATTAGTAAAATAAGTAGTCTGATAACTACTCACTCTCCTAGCATGGCTTTGCCAATATAGGTTGAGAGAATTGCCAACAAGATGGGATAATATTTTATTATGGTATTTGATAAGAACGTTACGGAGCCCCTTGTTTATTCAGAGTGTTGGAATGGAATTTCTCTTCTTGTCATAACACAAATAAATAAGTATACGGTAGGATTGTTAGGTTGAAGACGAGATCGCCTCACTTGTATGAATTCTAGTTCTGCACACGTACTTCCGTCGTGTCTTTTTAATTTATACTTAGCTTCAACGTGTGTAACATTTATTTTCAGCATGATTCAAAACAATGTCGTGTAAGCTTAATATTATTCCGTTCTAGAATTTTCGTCTAATTTGATTTTCGTATTTTTTAGTAAAATCCCAATTTAATAAAAATCGCATTGCAAGAGGCATTAATTTCCACTGCCTTTTCTTTTCTGATTGTACATCAATCTTTATTCAAGGAAGCCTTTTACTCCCTCCGTCCCGTTTTAAATCGCCCGTTCGACTTTTGGGCATATTTAAGAAAAATTAAAAATAGAGTTGATTTTTTGAAATTGTCAATACTTTTTAGGAGGGATGATTATGAATGAGAATATTGACTTATTTTAGAGGTAGTTTAGGTATTTTATTTTTAAAAGTTTACGAAAACAACTAATAGACAACTTATTTTGGGACGGAGAAAAAAGGCAAACCTGCAATTCAAAATGGGACGGAGGTAGTATTTTATTTCTGTCAATTTCACCCTCATAATTGTCTAGATGCTTCATTTTACTAGCGTAGCTCAATAGATGCAACCCAATAGATATACAAAAAAACCATGACTTCCATTTGCAAGGATCCGTGTGACTCTTAGTTATAATATATGTTTAAAACTGTATAATTTGGTTCATTTTAATACGCAATGCGTTTTGCTACTATATCAACGTACTTTTTACAAAATATGTAATTCTATATACTCCATACTTATTAATGATCAAAGTATCACACGTGTAAACATGAGAAGTCAAATGTAATGATTTCATGTGAGGACATACCGAGTAATAATTTGATTAACACATCTTGAAGGCAACTTCCATCAAATACATTTTTTTTTGTACCATTTCAAACGAACACCCACAGCATACAATCTGATGTCTAACTCGATCCGAACATACTATTATTACACATAGTATATAGTTGCTGTACTTTAATTAGCTAAGCCTCACACGTGAATGATGTGGATCGGGATGGTGATGAGATCAAAGCTAAGCTAGCGGCGGGCCTTCATTTTATTCATATATAAGATCCATCCATCAGATAGTCGAAAATTCTACGCCCTTGTTGTTGTTATTGTTGGTAGTAGTGGTGTAGGTGGAGGCGGAGGCAAAGGCAAGTGGGGGATCGTACTTGGTGAAGAGTCTGTAGGAGGAAATGAGGGAAATCCCGGCGTAACAGAGGCTGACGATGAAGGTGATGGCCACCGATGCGGTGGCCTTGCGGCAAAACCCGCTAAACGAGCCGCAACTCTCACCCCACGCGGTGGCGTTGTTCCCCTTGTAGGATAGGTATACCACCTCTGTTGCCAATGCTCCAGCACCCAATATTATGTACGTCAACATCTGTACCGATTCAAACAAACTCTTAGGGTTAGTTCTCACACCACATATATTGAAATAGAAAGAGAAGTGAGACTAGCACATATAGAAGAAGGGTGAAGTCTAATTAGAGCTGGCAAATCGGCCAGGTCGGGTTCGAGTCCGGTCACTTCAAGTTCGGGTTATTTCGGGTTCAGGTCAATTCGGGTTCGGGTTGAAAACTGTATGTTCATGACCCAGTGTCATCGGGTTCGGGTTGACCCAACGGGTTATGACTTTGGTTTTTTAAATTTTTAAATTCACATTAACACTTACATTTTCTATTAAATAAATTTAAAATATCAAAAAAAAGTATTAAATGTATAAAATTATTTTATTTTAAACTCTAAAGTTGTTTTTAGATATATAAATCAATATAAGGAATTTTAAAATGCTTAAGTTTTGGAAAAAAGTAAGATAATTATGCAATATCATTAAAATTTTGTCTGAAAATATAAATTTATACACTAAAAACGACTAAAAAAGTGTATAATTTTGAAAAATTCTTACTTTAGTGGGTCGGTCAGGTCGGGTTCGGGTTCGATCGGGTTTGACCCATTTTTAGCGGGTCATTTCGGGTTCGGTCAACTTCGGGTTCGGTCATCAAAACCTTTATTCAAATAAAAATCATCATAAATAGGACTAAAACATAGAAAAATAGGACTTTCATGTTTTTTTCCCGGAATAGGACTTTGCACTGTGGTAATGTGACAGTGTACATCTGCAAATAATTATACTTTTTTGGTAATGTATATGACCATGTTTGGTAATGTAAGTCCTATTTTGGGAATAAAAACATGGAAGTTCTATTTTGGTATATTTTCAATGTTTTAGTCCTACTTTAGTCTTTCTCCTTTGTTCAAAACCCAGTGTTTTCAGGTTGGATTTCAGGTCAAAAACAGGTCGGGTCACTTTTTGTCAGGTCTAAGTCTAATCCATCGGCTTAATCTTTTGATTTAATAGTGAATTCCAACACTACACCCGTTGTTCACGGTTCTCTATAATTTAAACCATTAGAGCATCTCCAATGCATTGGGTATATTGTAAAATATACACTTTTTACACTTTATTTTTCATTTTATCTCACTCCAAGGGATAGTGTAAATGTGATGATAAAATGCACTATAGTGCAAAAAGCAACTCACACCTCTTATTTCTACAAGTTACTGTAGATAGGGAAAAGAGTTTTTAAAATTATTTTGTGGCCGTTTTTTAATCTCTCGTCACTCCCTCCCCCTCCTCTCTTTATCATTTCTGCTGTCTTCTTCAATCCAAAACCACCCGTGCTGCTGTTTTCATTCCCTTTCTCAGGTAAATTGCTGGAATTTATATTAATTGTGTTGATGGCTAATTATTTTAGTATGATGCCATTCCGATTCTTCCCCCATTTTTAAGTGAAACCTAGGTTTAAATGGATTGTTTCTTTCTTTGATTTAGAAACAAATTTGGCTTTAATGGTTACTATATTGAAAGGAACAGTAGGTGTGTAGCCTAAATTTGGAAATTAAATTCATATTAAGCTACATATATGCAATTTTTTATTGTAGATATATAAATACTACATTTTTTTTAAATTTTTTGTTTATGGTCTATATCTCACAGTAGATATAAAAAATTAAAAATTAACAACTAATTATTTAGATATTTACTTTTAAATAATATTATGAAATTTTTAACAATAGTTTAATTAGATTATACAAAAAAATTGATTCGATTTTACACATAATAAAGGTGATTATAAAAATAAAATGCTCTGATTATAAATAATAATTATTATGCATAAATAACTCAAAATAATAAAATATTACAAAAGTGTATAATATAAAAGATATGGTTGGAGTGAGTATAAAAAAGTTGATGTGTAAAACACTGTTGATAGTGTAAAATTGCATTTACATTACCAACTTTTACACTATCCCTTGAAGATGCTCTTAGTGTTGGGTTTATCCTTTGTACACTGTAGTTCTAATACTCCGTACGCCTTGACTATTCAATTATACTATTTTAATATATTTTGAAAATAAATTATACTTTTTTCTTTCATACCCCGGTATTTAGGAATGAAATAAATACGTGGCTCATCAGTTTTTTCTCTCCTCTAATTAAATTCTAGTGATCCATTTTTTATTTTTTATTTAAGCATTTCGTAAATCGAGGCGATTCCCATGACATTGTCCGGCAATGTCATGGGATGATGGAGGCGCTCCGGTGCTCCTTTCGTAAAACTGATACGAGTACTTCCTACCCCCTACCCCCTGGTAAACCTCCACTCAGTCCTCACCCGAAGACATCCCCTATTCCCTTCAATTGCACTCCTGAGTTAATTTTGACTTTGGAGTCAATTTTGACTCCAAAGTCAAAATACACTTGGAGTGTGCAATTGAAGGGGGTGGAGGTGTGTTCGGGTCGGGACAATGTGGGGTTGAGGGTATGAACCGTCAATTTTAAGAACAGAGCACTAGAGCGCTGCTGGGTCATCCCATGACATGTGGTTTTAATGTCATGGAATCCCCCGTTCATAAATTCTGTGACTCTTTGGAGATAACTTCTAGACATGGTAACAATCATGTATATTCCCAAAAGGTATAGTAAAATGTTTATGTACAGTGCCACATTATCACAGTATTAATTTCTATTTAAAAAATAAAAACATGAAATTTTTATTTTAATACTTTTTTATATTTTATTCCTATTTAAGGTGATTTTTTAAAATATATATCCAATTTAACTCAAAAAACGAAAGTAACTAATTAATGAAGTGTGGTAGGTAGGAATTGAATTAGGAAGGAATTATTGGAACCTGATCTAGGAGGAAGAAGGTCCAGGCGCGAGGCAGAGTGGTTGGCCTTGGCATGGCCGCAACCACCGCTGTTAGAAGTGAATACCCTGCACATATCCCATTTGCATGTACCAAATACCTGCACAATATTTTAAAACTGCACCGTTTACTCTCAAATTTTTTGAAAATTAAATGATTTAACACTGAACATTAAAAATTACATGAAATACCCCTAAGTTCTTCATAAATTCCACATTTAGCCCTAAACATTTAAATAAAAATGATAATTTTGAAGAAGGGTATTTTGAAAAATTCACAAGAACAAAATAATCATACTCGCATTTCTCGTGCATGGGAGCAAACACACTCCCTATCTAGCATTTCAAGACCAATGGTGCAATGTTTTAAATTATTTCGGAGCAATTCGTGCACTTTTTAATTTTCAGGGATAAATAGTACTCCCTCTGTCCACCATAGATTTTCTCATACACTATTCACAGGGTCAAACTTTAATCACTTTGTTTGCTCATTTTTACTAGTCATTTCATAAAATAATATAGTCTTGTCACCTCTAATTTTGTAGAACTTTTCATGTAGTTTATTACTATATAAATTTTATTTTATAGTTTTACTCCTATAATGAATTAAATTGAATTGAAAATAAAGTCGGTCAAGCCTTGTAACGCGTAATGGGAAGATCTTACATGGACGGAGGGAGTATAATTTTTGAAAAGTTCGAGGCTAAATGATACATTTTTTAATATTCAAGGGTAAACCATATAATTTACAAAGAGTTTGAACTAAATAGTGCATTTTTTGCATATTTTAAATATACTCTTTTGTGAAGCTTAGGTCCATTTTTATTTTATAAACTTTAGTATAGGTACTCCCTCCGTTCTTGAAAACAATTTTAATTTTGACCAATTTTTAAAATAAGAAAATGTTAAATTGTAGTTGACTTCCTACATTACCTTTGATGTAATGGATAGATTATTAAAAAAAAAATATGATGTGATAGGGAGGGTAAAAAAGTATAAGCAAAAGTAGCTTTTTAATAGAAAGTAAAGTGTTTTAGTGAAAGAGAAAAAAATGAGAGAGAGTGTTTTATAGAACAGAAGAGTATATATTACTCCCTGTAAGAGGATTAGGATTTTGTGAAAAAGAAAAAATTCATATGCCACCCCATGAAATTTGTGAGAAGATTTACTTTAGGATCATGAAAACACAATTCAATATTTTAAGCACAAGACCACCACCTTCCCAAATTATTCATCAACTTTTTTTTTGAGAAATTTACTTAAATAGGACTAAAACATAATGACTTTTCCAATATAGGACTATATGTTTTATTTCCCAATGTAAGACCTTTGGTCATTATAAAGTAGTCATTACTCAAATAAATGTCCATCATTACTGGACATTATTCCTCCCACTAGGTCATTATTAAGTCCTATTTAGGGAATAAAAAAGTTCAAGTCCTACATTGGGAAAGTTATTATGTTTTAATCCTATTTAGTGCAAATTTCACTTTTTTTTAAATATGATGAACACCATTCCTAGGAGTATGAAAGAAAATGCCAATGAGTGCGCCGCGCCAAAACTATGATAGAATTTAAGATGAGGTAGTGACAACTGGATTATTGGATTAAGTAATACGTAGTAAGACACTTGGGCTGAACCACATTAAAGATTGAATTCAATCGATTACTTAGATCAAGTCAAGAGCTTATATACCAATTATTTTCCTCACACTTTTCTGACGTGGAATACTTTTCAACAAAAAGAAATGATGAAATGACTAAATCAAAGAAATAATATGAGTTAAATGTATAGTACTACATACTTAAAGGGTCCGAGGTCGGAGTAGGAGATGGAACCCAAGTCGTCGCTGTTTTGTGAGTTCTTGAGCATAATGAGGAGCGCCACCACGCAGAGTGCCACCGGGATGAGGCGGAGCAACGTCTCCGCCCTGCGCACGCCGCCATTGCCGCCGCTTCCCGGGGCGGTGCTTCCTCCCTCCTCATCCTCCATACCGGGCAGCCGCCGACCCGCAGCAGGAAACTAATTACTCTGTGTTTGAGAGTGAGTGAGTAGTAGTAATTGTCTTGTTTTGTTTTTTTTTGCCTCCCCAACTGTTCGTCGACAAAACTAACACGGCAATATATACTAACTCCGACTGTCTTTGTCCACTTACCTTTTGGCACACCATTCAATGCATTTCTTTAATCCATTTTATCTTGTAATTTGTATATTAAAAAATTATAAAAATTATATATTAATAATCTATATGTTAAGACGAATCAAACAAGATCACACATGACTATTTTTAGGCTTACACATTAAGAGAATTTGATGAGTCAAAGTGCTTAGATGAACAGTTCCAAAAGTCAAATGTGAACAAAAACAATGGGATGGAGGTAGTACTAATTAATGAAGAGATCGATGTAGAATTGTACGTATAGAATAGTAAAGCTTACTTATTATGAATGGAGGATGGGAGTGGGCATATATGCATTATTATTATTATTATATACGGAGTATAGATGGATGAGGTGAGAAGTAGCATGCATATAGAGAAGGTAGTTGGCCCTGCACTAAATGCTCATCAAACCTTGTCACACCAAACCACACCACTGCACGTTATCATATTTGAGCATGGAGCTTTTTATAGTATTTGAATTTTATTCATCTCTCTCTTCATTCATTCATAGCTCTGCAGTCTGTACTCATCTATTTCCAAGACTGGATTTGGAACCGTCCATAAAAGATTGCTACAGTTTGATATTTTTTGTCAAACTGTAGCATTTTTTGATAATGAATTATGAAAAAAGTATGTTTAGAGCATGGGTAATGACAAGTAGAAAATGGAATGCCACATGGTGACGTAGAATATTTTAACCAATCAAAATCAGTCCACTCAGCATGTGGCAAGTGAATGGAGTGACATGCCATACAATGGCAAGTAATTGTTTTTGTCAGTTTTTACACTTTTTAAACATATTTTAATTATTAAAAATTATTTTACTTATATTTTTTTAAAAAAATAGATGTACTCCTATTTTTTTAAAAAAACTTATTTTTTAATTTGTACAAAAAACAAAATAAAAAACTTAAAAATAATTAATTTTTTTACAATGCAAAATTCCTTGTTTTTTAAAATTGTTTTATTTAAAAATTTGTATAAGAACAAAAAAAAATAAAACTTACAAATTTTAAATTTCATCAAGAGTTCTACAAAATAAGAGATTACAAAAATATTTTATTTTATCAAAAATTTAATAAAAACATACAAATACAAAAAAGTTATCGAGAGGTAAAAAGAAAAAAAATTGTATTCTATGATGTAATAGTGTGAGTAAAAACTAGTTCGATCTACTCACAGCAAAACATTTTTTTTTTCAAAAATAAAAAGTAAAAGGTAAAAAAAGAGTTGTGTGCGCCTCGCGGAAGCCTCATATACCTTGGAAGAATTGTAATCCCATGCGAGGCATATGAATTTTTGTCCTACCTATCGTGGCATGACAAGCGGATGGAATGCCGTTGCGCATGCTCTTAATATTCACATACCGTGGACATCGGTCGATCCATCGAACTATATATGTGTTTTTGGCTTGCCCTTTAATTAGTATTTATATATATTCCCCATTTAATATTGTTGATCGAGTTCTACTATATATTCCTTCCTTCCAAAAGAAATTCTCAATTTGACTTGACACAGAGTTTAAAAAAAAATGAAAATGTCTGGTTGAAAGTTATGTAGAGGTGGAGAGAGATTCTAAGAAAAGAAATTCCTTTTTAAACATCCAAAAAAGAAAATAAAGTTTTTTTTGGAGGGAGATAGTTTCATATCCCTACTAGGACTTCCAATACAAATAAATTGCATCTTTTATTTTTTTGTTTTGAGAATAATACAATGCATGTTGATGTTACTTATTTTGTTGGTTTGTGTTTTGTTTCTCGTAATCCAACTAACTCTTTGCTCACTGTTCAGTTTTAATTTGTTTCTGGTGATGTACCAAATTACTCCCCCTCCTTGTAAATGCTTTCCATTTTAACCAAATGTCAAAATAAGGAAGTCTACATTTTTTAATTGATTTCAAATTTTGCCTTTGATGTAATGAATAAAAATAAGATGTAATGGATAGATTATTAGAGAAAAGGTTTGATGGATGTGATAGGTAGCGTAAGAAAAAGAATAGGTAAAATTAATTTTTTAATAGAAAGTAGAAGTAGTTTGGTGGAAGAAAAAAAAAATAAAAGATGAAATATTTTTCCAAACGGAGAGAGCATTACTTTCCTTCCGTCCCTAAACGATTTGAACACTTTACTATTCAAAAATTGCAGAAGCTTTTGTTTATATGCATGTTTTTATTGACTATTTGAGAAAATAAAATAATTATTACTACAACCATTTAATTGAATGCGCAAAAGAAAGAGATAATGCTATTACTCTTTTTGAGGCTTTATTTAAGAAATTTCAAGGGATATACGGTAATGTACCGGAAGAAACAACACCTCCTCCGCCCCAAATCAAAAAAAAGTTTTAAAAGAATAGTCGGTGGGCTTTTAGCAACGAACTTGCTATGTACCAAGGGGTGCCATGCAATTACGACGACGACGACGTGGAGTTTGACGTCCTCGCATGGTGGAAGCGGAACGAACACATGTTCCCAGGTCTCGGAATGCTAGCAAGTCAAGTTTTATCCGTCCTGGTATCAACCATAGCAGTGGAACAAGAATTCAGTGCTGGCGGCAACATTTTAACCGACTACCGAAGTTGTCTTAGCTCTGAATCTCTTGAAACACTTGTTTGCAACCGAGATTGGCTCTTGGCAAGACGTCGAGCTCAAGAGTCAGGGTACGAATTCAATTCCGAACATTACATGAATGCAATCACAAATGGAAGCCCTAGTTCTGAGTAATAAGTTATAAACTTTTTTTACGAAATTATCCGACGTCAGGTAGGCATGGCACCTGTGGAAGATAAGTTGCGGGAAGCGAGGTTGAGATGTTTTGGTCATGTGAGATGGCGGGATCCTGACGCCCTGTACAGATATGCGAGAGGATTACAGTTATCGGGGGAAGGGGTAGACCTAGGAAGAATTGGAAGAAGGTGATTAGACAGGATTTAGGACTTCTCGACCTGACTGAGGATATGGCCTTAGATAGGAACCTTTGGAAAACTAGAATTAGAGTAGCTGGATAGGAGCTTGGTGTTGTAGAGGTTGTTTTGTAGTGTGTTGTATTCGTTTGGAATCTTCTGCTATTGCTTGTACTTGGTGCTTTATCTGTGTTATACTGTGTTCCCTTCCATATTTTTGTGCAGGTGGAGCCGGGGGTCTCTTGGAAACAGCCTCCCTACTTCCGAGTAGGGGCAAGGTCTGCGTACACACACCCTCCCCAGACCTTACTGTTGTGGGATTCACCTGGGTTGTTGTTGTTGTATGTTAATGTAAATATGTAATTAGTGTTTTAGGTGAGTGATATATAAGCTCCTTCGAGGGTTTTTTTGCGGTTTTTTACCTCGTCGTTTTTTTTGAACCGTCAGGATATTAAATGTAGTTATTCTTCAGTTCATGTATTACTCATTTTACAATATTTAAATAACAACTACCCGTAGTACATTTTTAGATTTTTTATTTCATTATTTTTTTAATAATTACACATTTACAATTTTACACTTTTAGAAATTTAAAAAAACAAAAAAAAGGAGGTTTGCGAAACCGGCCGGTCCGGTAACGGAACCTCCGGTCCAAGTATTGACACCTGGCTGTAACGGAACGGTCAGGAACCTTACCTTGTCAGCCCTTACTTACTTTGAATTGATCTGGGCATCCGGCACCCTATTACCCTAAGATTGAGATAAAACAAAGGCAAGTAAATTTGAGAAGCAGAACGAGAAGGGATAAAGGAATGTCATTTCAGCTCCACTCCGGCCAGTACTACCACTTGCCGTCGCTCCCGAGTCTCGCTTCACTTACAACCTCTTCGAAGCTCTATCAATGTCATGCGGCACCGCCGAGACTCTGGAGCGGTTGCGCGAGATTGATGTCTCCCGCTAGCAGAAAGCGGCGACAGAAGTCATCAGCCAACAGCTCATTCAACCGCCCTTCGGCATCAGCTTCCCTTGATTTGACAGAAGACAATGTCAAGCAGGTCTTGGTTGATGCCCGGACAGAGGTAATAACAACTTCTGTTTTAGCATTTAAGATCCAATTTGAACTTCGAGCAATCAAATAACGGATCAATCTGTACATGTCCTCAAGTGTTAATATGCCCCTGTAGGCAAATTGAACCTTTTCCCTTACAGAAACGGTAGAGGCGTGAAGTTAGGACATTCTTAAGTTACATTTTTGTGTGTGGTTATGATGAATTAGACATGTGATCTTTGCTCAAGGAATATGTCTCTCTTAAGAATATTACCGTACTTGATAATATGTTTAGAGTGCGTATATAGTACAGCCGCTGGACAGAAACTATGGTAGAGTCTGGTAGTGCTCATTTTGGAGTAATGTGGTACTCATTTTCGCACAAAGCACAAGTGTTCATTTTGGAGTAACAGAGTATTCAACTATTCATTTTGAAAAAAACGTGGTGTTCATTTTGGATCAACAAAGTACTCATTCCGAAACAACACAATGTTCATTTTCACACGTTTGTTCATTACAATTATAATACTCCCAGGTCAGCAAATCTGCAGCCTCTCCTTCATCTGCTTCGTCGCTCCATGCTGCCGGACCTAGGGTTTTGACCCAGGTCACCGACTTCCCCGATCTGTAACGCTTCCATCGCCTTCTCCGTACATCTGACCTAGAGTTTTCGCCACCATCGCCATCCTCGATTTGTAACACCATCGCCTTCCTCTCTTCGTTGCTGCTGCTAATATCCGTCTCTTCCTGCTCTTTGTTGCTGCAATTTATTTACGAACGTACAGCCGGCTGTATGACATATCCAATATTTATGTCTCCTAAGGATTATGCTTTCCTTCAGTACTAAGTTCTTGACATTTTGCTGGGTCTGAGCTGACAACTAGCTGGTTTATCCAAATAACCTCCTAAATATCACTTCAGTTGATTTGGAGTCAAAACGATCCCTCAATTCTTTATTTTTATTTGGCATACCAAAAATCCCCTTTTGTCTTATGTTAAGCCATCATACACCGGTTGAATGTTATAAAAAATGGACTTCTCCGCCCCTATTAAATTGACCTTTTAGAAAGGATCAAATGTCTTAATATGGAACATAGAGAATACATACTTCAAGATGACCAAACATAATTATAAATCAACTTTTAAACATTGGATTAATTCTCCTATTAAGATTGACAGAAGATAGTCTTAATGTGCAATTGTCCATGTAATGATTCCATTCTAACCCCTTATCAGGTAAATAAATTAGCATTCCTTAACATTTTCATATCGGTGCGCAGCTTGCTCAACTGTTTGATACCTCTGTTGGGATAACAGGTGATTCCTCAACCTCGTCATGGGATTTCGTGAGTTGTATGGTTCAATAACCAAATGAAATTATAATGTGTGTGTGGTGTGTGTGTGTTATATCCAGGCAAAGTAGAACTGGCAGAAGTGGATGGACCCTACGTGAAGATCAGTTTAAGTGGCAAGTTTTGGCATAAGCGTGCCACTGTTTTAGCTAGGATTGGCAATTACTTGAAGAAAAAAATCCCAGTAAGACCCTCCTATGTTTCATTTTCATTATGAGATTCTAAGCTTTTCTATGTATACGCGAATCCTTTTTTTCTCTAAATTGATTTTGTCTGTTATATCTTCACAAACATCATCACCTTAATCCCAACTACGTGGACATTTTTGGGCTGGTGATGTGAATTCCAGTGCCATTTGCTTATCTACATTTAGTTAATACGTCGTATAATAATAAATTAAAAGGTTGTAAGTGCAAAGAGACTTATCAATAAGTGCTAGCACTAGCTCTCTCCCATTTCATGTGTCCTAGTTACGGAGTACTATTTAAGTGGTCAATCCAATTATTTTTTATTTTATTATTTTCTATATCAAAATTTGTTCACACTCACATTCCATTTTTGTGGTTTAACTAAACTCGTAGTGTAGTAAATTATAATTACTAATAATAAATTGTATCAAAGTTTAGTACATTCAAATCCCATTTCATTAATTATAAGGTTTTTTTGAACTTTTCTAGCATGTGTTTCCGTACGTCTAGCATAACTCAACAATAAGATCATGAAAAAAGATAGTCCGGGCTGAGCTTGTTTCCGAAGGAATAATGAATTGAAAATTTCAAAATCATCATCGATGCTATCACTCGTCCTTTTTCTACTTGCATAGAATATATTGTAAACGGAAGATGACGATGAGTTGAGATAGTTACTGTAGTCATATTGTCTCATTACAAGATTGGTATTGTAAAATCAGCATTCACATCTGAGTACTCCACTTTTGTCTTTGTTGTATATCTATGATAAGGAAATCCTGGAGGTTGATATAGAAGATGAGAAGCAGTTGGATGACAGCCCTGAAAACTTCTGAGGCAGCACTTGCCCTTGTGAGGGGCATACTGGCATCCCACCAAACTGAGACTACCCTACTTGAGCTTCATAAGCGGCCTTTGAAAATACTTCATTGTCATCTTTACTGTGAAATTGCAAGTCCACAAGTGAGGGAAATATAAGGCATTCTTCAAACTATATTTCTGAAAAAGTAAAAAAAATAAATTTGTCTGCTACAGTATAGACTTATGCTGTGTGTATTTATCTTAGAAATATTTGCACTAAATATGTCGAAAACTTAACTCATTTCTCTGAATAGCACTTAAACGGTTTTATTCCCTAAATGGCTAAATAACACTTAATAATGTCCATTATGTCCAGTGATGGCGAACATTTACTTGAATAATGACTAATGGATAATGACTAAAAGTGTTTGGGAAAAAATACATGTGATGCTATTTTGGAAAAGTTATTATGTTTTAGTGCTATTTACGTAAATTCTCTCTTTTAACTTGTCTTAACAATGAATGACTCCATATATAAGTATAGAGAAGCCAAATGAAGCTGCGGATGGTCTCACACTTTTGGCCTGCATGAAAATGCCTCCTCCGTCCTCATCATCTCTTTAATTATTAGGAATTAGGATTGTGATCATTTGTGGTCTGATCAAGACGCATGGTGGTGCCGGCTGACTCAGGGTGTCCAAGTGATTGAGATTTGACAAAAGGCATGACTCATGAGTGTAGGTTAGAGTGCCGACGCCCAAGCTCCACACCGTGTGCCACAGGGCACCTAGATTGTATTTATTGTCTAAGGTGTTCCAACTAACTTAGTTTAGCATTGACAAAAATTATCTCAGTTTAGCATGGACAAAAAAGAAAAGGATAATTTGTGCGAGATGAAAGGAGTAATTTTTTTTTGTATAACGCAACAATAACAACCTATTAGAATCTCACAAAAGTGGGCTTTGGGAAGGAAGGATCTGGGTACTGAAAACCTTACTCATATTGAAAGTAGAAAGTCTATTTCCAAGAGATTTCTAATTTGAGCACAATAGAAATCACATAGCACGATAAAAAAACAAATTAAAGGTAAGAAAAGTGCAAGAAGACAAAGGTCATGTTTCTTTCAATTTATTATTACTAGTACTTTTACCTGTGCCTTGTATGGGTGGACCGAATGTTTTTTTTATTCTTTAATTTTTTTCTTCATAGTTAATGATTCATTTATGTATGAAATTTTGTTTCTGATTTTTTCATGATTAAATAAATTATAGATATTAAACGTTCCTATTATTTTTATTGAAATAGAGATATTGAAATGTCAAATCATAATTAATGTATGCAAATGCATAATAAATCATAGTGTCACATTTTTTAATGGTAAAATATTATTAAAAACACATTGCTTGGTAATAAAGACATTTTCTATATATATATATATATATATATATATATATATATATATATATATATATATATATATATATATATAAGCGTCTAGGTGTTTGGGAGTGATTAACTTATTGATAAAGTGATTTCTACAAAAGCTGAAAGCAAAAGCACCTCATACATGCTTCTCCGAAACGGTGTTCCATGTACAAAATAATGTTGGTGAAAAGCAGAAGCTGACATGCCAAACAGAGTAAAATTACTTCCACTCAAAGCAGAAGCTAAATTGTTAAAAGCAAAGCACTGCCAAGGGTTATCTTGGGCGTTTTTTCGTTTATTTTCTAACGCGTCCACTGTTCATCGTTTCTTTACTATTCATATCCATCTTCTCCCTGTGTTTAGCACGAACCATGAAACGGATTGGCCATTCTCGCCGCCCACCGCCCCACGATCCAAGCCTCTTCACAGCGGAGTATTATAGAAAAGAATGGTTTTCACGGTTTCAACTAGTTTCTTCTTCCTACAGTTTCTTCTTCCGGTACGGCTATTCTTGCTTCAACTTTGCAGGTATTCTTCCTCCCTCTGCTCACTCTTCTTCTTTAATTTCAATTCTTCCTGCTTCAAATTCACAGCAATTTCGGATTGCAAAAATTGGAAATCTCTTGAAACTTCAGCCAGTTACAAAAAAAATTAGCTTTTTCCGGTTTGCAAGGTTTGGATATCCCTTCAAACTTCAGGAATTTACATTAAAAATGAACTTTTTTCCCGGTTTGTTAAATTCTCAGAATTCCTAGCTTAGAAACTTCACCCACTTCAAAAAAAAATTTAATTACTCCATTTGAATTTTGGGTGCCTAGCTTCTACGTAGTATAATTTAAAATTGCTATTGCTTAAGATTGCTATATACCGCATGACTATGTGTATGTGACTTTTACTTTTGGATTTGGTTGGTGTTTGGTCTTTTTATTTTTCTAAAATTTGAATTGATTATTTTTTGTATTTCACCTGCTGTTTTATTTACTGCATATTAGAAAAAGTCCTTTGTTGTTCACTTTTTTACTAAAAACATTATTTTAGATTGTTCATGGTTGGATTGAGGAAAAATACGAAAGGAATAAAGAAACATTGGATAAAAAAATTAACTTATACTCGTATAGATTTACTCTATAATCTTTGCTCAATTTTAAAACTTGAAAGAAGAATGAAAGGGTAAATTTCGTAATGAAGATTGAAAAGTTGTCCTCCCATTTTGGAAAAGTTATTTCTCCTTCCTTCTTAGCTCTGTTCCCCCAAAGCATAGTTAGTGTTGTCGATTTGGGTACCTTAAAGTTCCTATCTTCCTCATGAATGCTTCTTCTGCAATCACTGTATGACTCTTTTTTTCTCCGTATACTTACAGTATCTCCTTTCGTCTCTGTGCTTAACACCAACCATGAATCCGATTTGCCATTTTCCCCGCCCACCGCACCACGATCTTAGCTTCTTCGCAGCGGGGTTGTGTCAGACCCACTTTCTTACATTTCTTTATTCATAGGGGTGGTGGTTTACATATATGTGAAGAATGTGTTCATCTAATTAGTTTGATAAACATTTTATTCTTTATGGTCTTCACAGGTGACACAACACTCTTCGTGCTCCGTCTTTATCTCATCAACTTCTTGTTCCTCTTCCTTGGTATGTTTACGCACTTTAAATATATATTTCTTTAAATTTAATTGAAAACAGATTTTGTATGTATTTCTAGAAATATAATGTCAAAAATATTTGCTAAGAATTAAAATTCTTTATAAGCATTTGTAAGTTTTCGGTATAGATATGTGTAAAAACACAGTACTAAAAGAACCTCTGTTCTCTTATTTGGTAGCCCCATTTTTTTAAAAAAACCTAGGATTTAGTAAATTTAATACATATATTTTTAATTACATGATGCATAACATTAGTCAACACTTGGGTGTGTTCTTAAGTTATTAAAGATTCAATGGATATTGGATCTTCATCTACTCAACCAGTCACCGAGGGTAATCAACGTGAACAAACAAACTTTAGATGTCGGCTTAGATATCGTGAGTTACGTGAACAAGAAAAAGAAACGGGTTCAACGACTACTCAACGCTCCAAATTCTCCAGCACCTGTTCTAGGTCTTTTATTAAATTCTTTATGATATACATTATAACCTCATGTTTGCTTTCAAAGACATTGGCTAATTTTTTCCTTCTTTTCCTAACTGTCCTCGCCTAAAAAAATATTACCCTTCCAATACATACACCAACACATTCAACTATTTTGATTCCTATATTCTTGACATTCCTCTACCCATAACTATCAATCCTATTTCGACAGATTCATCAACGTTCTATGCATATCATGAATCACCTTTTTCCTTAAAGAGGGTATTAGACTACATATTTTGTGGTGTAAGTCACTTCGAGTTTGAGCCTTTGGGGTTTTGTTGTTGTCGAGGTGAGGTCATTCTTGCATCCACTCATATGCCCATTGCGTTAAAAGACTTATTCATTGGGAATGACGTTAAAGCAAAGCAATTTCAATGTCTTGTTCGTACATACAACACCACATTTGCATTCACCTCAATCGGTATATATAATTACGACAAGGATTTGTGCAAAAGGAACAAAGGAATCTACACTTTTAAAGTGCAGGGGCAGATATATCATTTTGTGAATGACTTGCTGCCGAATGGATCTCCACCTCGAAATTTACAGCTATATTTTTTGACACCGATCACCAAGTTGAAAACAGGACACAGACAACAGATAGATTGGATAAAGAGATAGTATCAGCTCTTGTTGACTTGATCTCAGATAATCCATACGCTCAGTTTTTTAAGAGTCTCAAAGATGTATGTAACGATGCGGAGTTTAGTATACAACTACACAACCATCCACGCTTAGATCAACGAGTGTATAATACTCCTACTGCGTCACAAATTGCTGCAATATGGGTAGAAGATAGAAACAACGGAACTCAGGAAACCAAACACATTCGTGTTTATGGTCACACTGGAAAATCACAGAACATACAATACTTCTACGATTGTTATGATCCTTTACAATATCCATTATTTTTTGCTCATGGGGAGGTAGGTTGGCAAACAAGGATTGATAGGGTGTTGTCAGAAGCACAACGTCATTTAGCAAAAACCAAACAGATACCTTGTATGATGTCAGATGTTAACCTTGCACACACCGCTGATGATGTAATTTGGATTGAAGAAAATAATATTCAAACTGGAAGGAAGAGAAAAATGATTTCGTGTAGGGAATATTATGCTTATAAGCTCCAAATACGCCAGGATGACAACAACTATTTGTTACATACAGGAAGGTTGTTACAAAAATTTATCGTTGATGTCTACGTCAAAATTGAAACACAACGTTTGGATTATTATAGACTTAAACAACTTGATCTCAGATCTAAAACATATCAAGGCGTTGTGGATAGCATGTATACAGGTATGGTATACGGTGACGATGTTGGCCAACATGTCATTCTACCAGCTTCATTTATAGGTGGTCCTCGAGATATGCGTAAATGTTATCTTGATGCTATGGCAATTGTTCAACAATATGGCAAACCTGATCTCTTTGTAACGATCACGTGTAATCCGAATTGGCCTGAAATCAAAGAGCACCTTCATCACCGAGATGAGGCACAGAATCGACCAGATCTTGTCTGTAGGGTCTTTCATGCACGACTATAGGAATTTAAGAATGATATCATCAAAAAAAGTTTTTTTGGGCAAGTTGCAGCATACATATATGTTATAGAATTTCAAAAGCACGGCCTTCCTCATGCACATTTTCTTATAATCCTAAAGGTAGGAGCAAAAATACAGAATTCCCTTCTCTGCGACAAATTTGTTTCTACAGAAATACCTGACCCAATACACCAACCACGTCTATACACACTTGTCAAAAAACATATGATACACGGCCCTTGTGGCGCTCTTAACCAAAGTTGTCCGTGTATGACAAAAAAAAGGGATAATCAGCCGCCTCTTGTAGAAGCAAGTACCCGAGATCTTTGAGTGATGAAACATCATTTGGAGAAGATTCCTTTCCTATTTACCGCAGAAGGAACAACACAAACACTGTAGAAATAAGGGGGTGTGCACTTGATAACTCCTGGGTAGTACCCTACAACCCACAACTCTTATTAAAATATGACTGCTAGATTAATGTTGAAATTTGTGCGTCGGTCAGATCTGTTAAATACATATATAAGTATGTTTACAAAGGGCATGACAGAATTTCTGTTGGCATCTCCACCGATAAAACCACTTCTAAACATGACGAGATTGCAGACTTTCAGAATACAAGATGGGTTTCTGCACCAGAGGCGGCGTGGAGAATATTTGCTTTTCCAATTGCCGAAATGCATCCCCCAGTTTTGCAATTACAGGTGCATTTAGAAAACTTCCAGTATATCAACTTATTTAGAAACCAAAGAATCACGAAGATTGTTAAAGACGATAATAAGTCGAGCACAATGCTGACTAAGTTCTTTGAAATGAACACATGTGACATCATTGCGAAAGGACTTCAATTACTTTACATACAATTCCCTGAATATTTTGTTTGGTCAGACACAAACAAAATATGGACGCAATGAAAACGTAAAACTGTTATCGGACGACTTGTCAGTGTAAATCCAATGGAAGGAGAGAGATATTACCTCCGCATCTTACTCCAACATGTCAAAGCTCCAACGTCATTTAACAGTTTGAGACTCGTCGATGGTCACATGTTTTCCACATTTGGAGAGATTGCTGATAGAATGGGACTTTTAACAGAAAATGCTACAATTGATGTCTGTCTTGAAGAGGCAATCACATATCAAATGCCCAGTAGCTTAAGGAGATTGTTTGCTTCGTTATTAGTCTTTTGCGAGGTTCCTAATCCAAGAGAACTATGGTCTAAATACAAACCTCACTTATATGAAGACTTTTCTCAGACAGGATTCTACACTCCAGTAGAAATGGAAATGATTGTACTCAAACTTATTGGAGACATAACTGAAAGTCTTGGAAAGAGAATTGCTACATTCCACTTAATCGACTCTGCCATGTCTTTAAGTACCACTGAATTTCAGGCACGCGAATTGAGCTCAGAGCATAACATAAACGTTAGCGAACAGGACCTTCAGTGCGCCCAGCTTCTCAACAAAGAACAAAAAGCTGCATTTGACTCCATTATGCAAAGCGTATTTTTAAACAAAAGCGTAGTTTTCTTCGTAGACGGTCCTGGTGGTACAGGAAAAACACTTCTATACAGAGCTTTGTTAGCAACAGTTCGGAGCAAAAAATGGATAGCTTTGCCTACTGTAACATCAGGTATTGCCGCCTCAATTCTTCCAGGAGGTCGCACTGCACATTCTAGATTTAAATTGCCCCTTGATGGAAACGACAGAAACACTTGTAACATAGGTAAGCAAAGTGCAACAGCAACATTACTAAGAGAAGCACGAATTATCATATGGGATGAGGTTACAATGGCTAACCGAGGTATTATCGAAGCATTGAATACAAGTCTCAAAGATATTATGTGCTCGGAGGAACTCTTTGGAGGAAAAATTATTGTTTTTGGTGGAGATTTACGCCAAACTCTCCCTGTTGTTAGGCATGGAAACAAACAAGACTCTATTAATGCATGCATTGTTAAATCCTCCTATATTTGGGCAAAATTGAAGCGTCTCGTTTTAGTACAAAATATACGAGCTCAATCTGATCCGTTTTTTTTGCGAATATCTAATGACGATAGGAAATGGAACAACACCGACTCTTGATGGTACAAACATTGAAATTCCAGAAAAATTCCTTATTCATGTCGGTCATGCCTCAAACCCATTGTCGTCACTGATAGCAGCAGTTTACTCAGACCTGAGTCTTTTTCAACGAGATCTATACACATTGATGGGTAGAATAATTCTAACCACCACAAATGAGTACGTGGATCAAATAAACGCAATCCTCATTGGTACATTCCCTGGACAATCAAAAACACTGCTAAGCTATGATGAAGCGCTCGATCCTAAGTACAAAAATTGCCAAGACTTCCTACAAACATTGTCATTTGCGGGTTTGCCTCCCCACACCTTAGTTTTTTAAAAAAATTGCCTAATCATCCTACTTCGAAACCTTAATCCTTCTGAGGGCTTATGTAACGGAACACGCTTAATATGTGATGCTTTTCACGATAATCTCATAAGTTGTTCTATAGCATTTGGTGACTATAAGGGCAAACATGTATTCATACTAAGAATACCACTTGAAATCTGTTGAGTCCAAAAGATTCTTTATTTAATCTCCACTAAATCAGTATTTTTATGAGTTAAAAGGTGCATTTTTACACTTAAATGATCATATTTGCATGCTAGGCATTATTCACAAAATATATTCATAATACACATTTTTAGAGTATATTTAAAATGTTATTTCGTTGGATCCAATATTTTCCTTGACAAGCTGTTTAGATATGTTGTTGGAGCTGAAAAACATGGGCTGAAGATTTTGCAATGGGCCTCCGCAACAATTTAGAAGAAAAGAAGAAACAAGGTTGTTTTTGGGCTGCACTTTCAGTTACCTGATCCAGCCCTCCACTTTACCCGGATGAACCCGTCGTATGAGCCTCAACCATCTCATCGCCTCTCAAGAACGCAAATCAGAGAGAGAAAGAGGCGTGAGAGAGAGTAGCCGAAGACTCCTACTCCTCAATTCAATTCCAGCAGTGTAACACCGGATTAATCGCAGCAAGAAAATAGTGTCAAGAATCCAAATCCAATAAGGAAGAGATGAACTTGGCGCCTATAAAGCGAGGGGGATGCGGCGAAGAACTTCACCACCACCATCAAGAACAAGAATTAGAGCTTCAAGTCAAGGGTATGAACCCTAGGGGGGTTCGGGTCTTGAACCCAAAACCCCCTTCGTTCCCGTTTGCTTTCATCTTTTTAGTGATTCTTTTATTCATATTAGGTCTAATTTCAATTTTTAGTCCCTTTGATGCTCTCACAATTGAACGAATTCTGTCTGGTTTTCTTTGATTCTGAATGTTGTATTCTTTAAAATCAATGGTTGTTTTCAAAACGTTGGAGATACTGTCATGGATTTGGTTTGGAAATTTGACCAAGTTCCCAATTTATTTTTGGGCATGTATGTTTGAGTATGGCCTTGCGATGCACTGGCAGTTGCTTTTTTTTCTGGATTTCATTCACTGCCCATTTTGGAAGTAGTCATAATGAATGATTTTTCATGATTTAAACCTTCCAATCATGCTGGCTTTAAGTGGGTCCAAAAGCACTTGAACAAGGCTGTGTTTTTAGAGCAACCTTGAGAAGTTTTTTTACTTTCTTATGTAATCTAGGAATTGATTTTGTCAAAAATAGCATTTGAAACCAGAATTTTTAGAAGAAGTATTGAATCTTGTTCCCTAAAATTAAATCTGTCTATGGGTTTTCACTTTTACTTCAAGTTTAATACTCTTAAAATAATTCAAGTTTTTGCTACCTTTAAATTAATTCAAAGGTGTTTGAGAACTACTTTTCAATTGATTTTACTTAAGTTGGGTCAAATTAGGATCGCGACCTAATCCAATTTAAAATGATATTCTTTTAAAGTCCAAAGTGCTTTAAATAGCCGAACTTTTCTAGAAACCAAGTGTCACTTGATTAACCNCACTTTTACTTCAAGTTTAATACTCTTAAAATAATTCAAGTTTTTGCTACCTTTAAATTAATTCAAAGGTGTTTGAGAACTACTTTTCAATTGATTTTACTTAAGTTGGGTCAAATTAGGATCGCGACCTAATCCAATTTAAAATGATATTCTTTTAAAGTCCAAAGTGCTTTAAATAGCCGAACTTTTCTAGAAACCAAGTGTCACTTGATTAACCAAGGCCGCCTCGTTAAGTGGTTTTTGCTAATCAAGGTTCTCAAACTGACTTTGTTAAATAACCTTCGTGTTACTGCAGGATTGTACGGTGATGTTTTCCACAAATCTTAATGCACTATTCTTAGTAGTAATCTAAGGGTTGGTCTTTCGGTTGCTAAGGGTAGTAGGGTTTAGAGTTAGGGTTGGTCCTAACATGAGCTTTTATGAATGGGAAAATAGGGAAGAGCCGTTGGTGGACCTCTTTTTCAGCCGGACCCTTGTTTTAATTTAAAGTTGGTTGATGATTATTCTAGATTTTATCAAAGTTTTGATCCTGGATATTTATTTTCTATATTATAAAACACTTTGTTGGTTTTCTGAAATTGTTTAAGTCTCTAAATTATTGTGTTATGTGTTTGTCTTCTTTGTTTGGGCTTCTTGGTGGAGTTATGTTCTGTTTTTATCCTTGGATTGTTTCAAGATTTGTTTTGGTGTGGTGTGTCACTTTAGTTAGTTTTTTTACTTTATTTAGAAAACACTTTTTCAAACCCCCCCATCTTTTAATTTAGTTTATAGATTTTAGATAGTTGTTTTTACTCAATAAAAAGTGACAAAGTAAACCGATTTTCATAACCTGAAAAGCATCTTTCCTCGTGGGATCGACCCTTACTTATCCTATTTACATGATTAATAAATATTATTTTAACAAGGAGGAACTAAGTAAAGGAAAATATTAAATTAATTTTTTAGGTGCTACGACACGCCTATCAAATTTTGGCGCCGTTGCCGGGGAAAGATAATTTTTTTTAATGAGAATTGGTTTGCTTATTGTTTACAAAACACTTAAGAAAAAAAAGTCCTTTTTATTATGTTGGTTATTATAGCTTAATAAGTCAGTTTGTTTTTTAAAAAATCTAAGTCAGTCCCTAGGTGCAGTTGTGTCTTGTTTGTAATCAGTTTGTTATGAGTCCCTATGTTTTTTTCTCCTTGGCTAACTTTTTACTTAAAAAAAATAAATAGAGTTACTAACAGTTTTTAAAATCAATCTTTTACCCCACTAACTGCAGATTTTGAACAAATATGGTCCTGGGAGCGTAAAGTTTTTTTTTAGGAAAATGGTGTTAAGAGGAGTTTCCAATCTAAGTTTGATCAAAATATTTTTATATGGCTAACTAGTAACAATTAGGGAAGTAGGAACTAACTTTACTGACTTCTTTTTCTTGAAACATTAATTTATTTTACTGAGAACTTGCCTAAAAACTCTTTAAAAACACTGTTTTCAAAGATGCATTACTGTAGATTTTAATTATTCAGATTAGGGAGTCTCATTAAAATGATTTTTTTAAAAGTAAAGTAAGCTGAACAACTAATGCACTTTGTTCTTAGATTTTTATATCAAGTAAAAGAATTCTAATACTTGCTTTATCTTTGAGTTGCAGATTATTGAATTTTTGCATGCGCTTGAGGAGTGGAAGAGTAATTGGTGAGTTTGAATTAAAAAGTAAAAGCTGCGAGGTAAGTGTGGCTGAACCTACACCTTTAATTAGTGCTTGTGCTGTTGAATCTGAGGACGAACCTGCCAACTTTCTTGCTCGTGACTTGTTTGATTATTGTTCTGATAGCATCTTTGATAATCTTTTTGAAATAAAATCTTAACCAAAGATGACAACTTTAAGAGAATTGGCAGCCCCTAACCTAAATGTTCAACCGCTTTCCATCACATATGCTGAGCTAGAGAAACCTTTAAAGCTGAATTCTGGGTTTATAAATCTTTTGCCTAAGTTTCATGGTCTACTTGGAGAGGATCCCTTCAGGCACATCTCTGAATTTCTGATTACTTGTGGTGCTATGGTGCCTGAAGGGGTTGCTCAAGACCAAATTAGGTTGAAGGCTTTCCTGTTTTCTTTAGCTGATAAGGCAAAGGACTGGTTGTACTACATGCCAGCCGGTTCTTTTACTACTTGGAATGCCCTACATAAAGCTTTTTTAGAAAAATACTTTCCAGCTTCTAGGATAGGTTCAATTAGGAAAGAAATATGTGGGATTAAACAAATGATTGGGGAGAATTTTTCTGAATATTTGGAAAGATTTAACAAACTTTGTGCCTCCTGTCCTCAACACCAAATTTCCGAACAACTTTTAATCCAGTATTTTTATGAAGGACTACTTCCTACTGAGAGGGGCAATGTGGATGCTGCTAGTGGGGGTGCCTTGGTTAATAAAACACCTGAACAAGCTAGGGAATTGTTTAATTTGATTGCTCAAAACACCCAACAGTTTGGTACTAGGGAGACTTTAGTGAAGAAAGTGAATGAAATTGGCAATTCTTTTATTGAAAACAAACTTACTGAACTTACCAATGCCATTTCACAACTTACAACTGTCGGAGGGGTTAAGGGAAAACCTTGTGGGGTTTGTTGCTTGGAAGGACACCCTACTGATGCTTGTCCGACCTTGCAACACCCCGAGGTAAATGCCGTTTTTTATAATAATAATCAAAGAAAATACGATCCTTTTTCTAATTCTTACAATGAGGGATGGAGAGACCACCCAAATCTCAGGTATGGTAATGGGCAGAACTACCAGGCTCTTAGGGGTAATTTTCAGAATTTTAACAATCCATCACAACAGCCCTCTTTTGATAAAAACACTCAACTTTTGGAACAGATTCTTAAGAAAATGGATGACAAATTCTATGGTTTTGACCAAACTCTTAAGCAAATGCAAGAAAAACAATCTGCCACTGAAGTTACAGTGAGTAATTTGCAAGCCCAACTTAATAATAGGTTTCCTTCTCAACCATTTTTGAATCCTAAAGAGAATTTGAGTGCAATTGAGCTGCGAAATAAGAAAAAACTGCAGGAACCTAGTTTTGTCAGTAGGGAAAAAAGGGAGAAAGAACTTCATCCAAATCAAGTTTCTTTTGAAAATCAAAATGCTGAATTTGTTGAAAATGAAATCACTCAGGTTGATAAATAGAAAGAAATTGATTTTCAAAATAGAATCAATGAGTTTAAAAATCAAAAAGCCCCGTTTCCCAGTAAGTTTCTAAGTCAACAACCTAAGACGAAGGAGTTAGATCAAGAGATGTTAGAAACTTTTAAAAAGGTGGAAATAAATCTCCCTCTTTTAGAAGCAATCAGACAAGTTCCCAAGTAAGCTAAATTTCTTAAAGAACTTTGCACTCATAAAAATAAGCTTTCTGGGACCGAAAAGGTGTTGATGAGTGAGAATATTAGTGCTGTTTTTCAGAATAAATTACCCCAAAAATGTAAGGATCCTGGAGTTTTTACTATTCCATGTCAGATAGGGAGCTTAAAATTTGACAAGGCAATGTTAGACTTAGGTTCTTCAATAAATGTGATGCCAAAGGATATTTTTGAACAACTCCATATTGGGGACCTAAAAAGAACAGGGGTAGTAATTCAACTAGCAGATAGGAGTCACACCTACCCCGAGGGGATCTTAGAGGATGTTTTGGTTAGAGTGAATGACTTCATTTTTCCTGCTGATTTTTACATTCTAGATATGGGAGTTGATAAAACCGACATTCCCATTTCGTTGGGAAGACCATTCTTGAAAACAGCCCGGGCTAAAATTGATGTTCATGGGGGTACTTTAACAATGGAGTTTGATAGTGAGATAATTAAATTTAGTCTTTCTGAAGCAATGAAACACCCTCATGATGAAAGTCAAGTCTTTGCTATGGATGTAATTGATAAAATCACTAAAGAAGTTTTCAGTAAATCAAATGACGATGCTCTGTACACTGTTTTAACTGAAAGTTTAGACCCTTTTGAGATTGAGAAATTAAATTTTTCACTTCCTGATGATGTTTGCTTTTATGCTGAAAATTTGTCTTCTGTGGAAGAGGTTAAAACTGTTTTAAAACTGAATTTGGAGGTTCCTAAGACCAAACCACTTCCTTCTTTGTTTTCTCCACCTGAAATTGAACTTAAAGATATGCCTCTTCATCTAAAATATGCTTTTTTGGGTGAAAATGGAACACTTCCTGTGATAATATCAAATCTTTTAACTGAACCACAAGAATTAATGTTATTGAGAGTTTTAAAGGAACACAGTGAAGCCATAGGCTGGACTTTAGCGGACATTAAGGGTCTTGACCCAACTTTGGGTAGTCATAGGATAAGTCTAGAACCTGATGCGAAACCAAGAGTAGAAAATCAAAGAAGACTTAATCCTCCTATGATGGAGGTAGTTGAGAAAGAACTTTTAAAATGGATTCAAGCAGGAGTCATATATCCCATAGCTAATTCAAAGTGGGTAAGTCCAATTCATGTTGTACCGAAAAAAGGGGGGACTACTGTAGAATTAAATGAACAAGGTGAGTTGATTCCTGTTAGAAAACAAACTGGTTGGAAGGTGTGTATAGATTATAGGAAACTGAACAAAGCCACTAAAAAAGACCATTTTCCTTTACCTTTTCTTGACTCTTTAGTTGAAAGGCTCGCTGGAAAATCTCATTACTGCTTTTTAGACGGTTATTCTGGTTATATTCAAGTGCCTGTTGCCCCTCAAGACCAGGATAAAACCACTTTTACATGCCCTTTTGGCTTGTGTAATGCACCGGCTACTTTTCAAAGATGCATGATGAGCATATTTTCTGATTATTCCGCTAAAATAATGGAGGTTTTTATGGATGACTTTTCAGTATATGGAAATAATTTTGAAGAGTTCTTGCATAATCTGACTTTGGTTTTAAAACGATGCATTGAGTCAAAAGTGGTTTTAGATTTTGAAAAGTGTCATTTTATGGTTGAAAGGGGAGTGGTTTTGGGTCATATTGTTTCTTAAAAAGGAATGGAAGTTGATCCAGCAAAAGTGGAAATTATTAAGGCTCTGCCCTACCCTAAAACTTTAAAAGAAATAAGATATTTTCTTGGGCATGCTGGTTTTTATAGGAGATTTATCAAAGATTTTTCTAAAATAGCTCTTCCCCTTACGAATCTTCTTTCAAAAGACACCCCATTCATTTTTGATGACAAATGTAAGATGGCTTTTGATGTTTTAAAAGAAAAACTGATTTCAGCACCAATTGTCCAACCACCCAACTGGAAACTGCCCTTTGAATTGATGTGTGATGCTAGTGATAGGGCTTTGGGGGTTGTTTTAGGACAAAAATCAGGAAATCAGTCCCATGTTATATACTACGCTAGTTGCACTCTTGATTCTGCTCAAATAAACTATACAACAACTGAAAAAGAGATGTATGCTGTGGTATATGGCTAAGAAAAGTTTAAAATGTACTTACTGGGAGTTAAAGTGACGATTTACACTGATCATGCTGCTCTAAAATACTTAATGAGTAAGAAAGATTCTAGGCAGAGGTTGTTAAGATGGGTGCTCTTACTGGAGGAGTTTAAATATGAAAAAAAAGATAGGGCAGGAAGATTAAATCAGGTGGCTGACCACTTAAGATATCAGTAAGTACTAACACATTTCCTCCATTACACTACCTGCTTTTGCTTTAACATCATTACTCTCCCTGTCCACCACTGATCATACTTGAAACATACATTTCACATTACACATTTCATTAACTTTATGTTTTATATCTAACACTGTTATGTCCTAAATAACAGATGTACTTGGAACTGTTATTTCCAAATTGGCCCGCAAGTTTGTCTTCACACAAAAAGGTCAAAAGACAACAAGCGACTTCATCATCATAGACCAAGAGTATGTTCCAGTACTAATTCTATCACATCTTCTATTGTTTCAAAATTACATACATTTGCCAAACCAATGTTAATAATATTTTCTATGCTTTTAAATTTACCGCTTTTCGAATTCATTCACATTTTTTTTTACATTACACTGATTCTCACCTAATCCATCATCTTTACAATGCTAATAAATTTCAAACCCAGGAACACATTTGTATTCCGTGCACTCGTTTGTGGTGGGAATAAAAACGTTCGGTATCTAGGCACTTCTTTACTTTCTTCCTCGCGGTGTGTTTTGAGTTTACATTTTAAACACAGGCCGAGACTTATTATTTTAGTGTCACATATTTCTTCCTGGCTTTGGATTTTTTTTAGCCCACTTCATATGGTTTCTTACTTGACGGTATGGTCTTCTTCCTAAAGGAATATTGAAGAACATAAGCGACTATATAAGTTGATTAGCATCCTCCGTTATCCTTATTCAGCAAATGTTGTTCCATAAGGAGAACGGAGTACCACAATCATCCTCTTCGGAAAAATGAGTTAGAAACATTGCTGGACTCGGTTTCTTGCTTATTTGACCTCATGCACGAGTGCCTGGTCGAATTTTAAATACATTTTGGCATGCTTATTTGTAATTTTCTTCTCACTCATGACTTCATTCATACTCACATAACGAATACTGGCTATGCCACACATATTGGAAGGCGACGGCCTCAGGTCGTGATCCCATCATCTAATATGTGCCTTTACTGAAACTAACTCGTATACTTATTCAGTACGCCTTTGGGAAACATGGGTAAAAAAATGCAGGACTTACTTACATGCTTATTTGACCTACTGCACGACGTCTTCCTAATTGAATAATGATAAACATAGAATGAAATGTTGTTAGGCGTCCTCTGTTATCCTTATTGAATAAATGTTGTTTTATAAGAAGAACAGAGGACGCCGATCAACACCTCGAATCAATATCATATCAAACCTGGCACCTAGGCACATGCTCCTAGGGACAGAGACCCTCAAACTCTAACGAGTCTCTGGTGCAGACCCAACCACTGTCGACCGAGACTACGCAAACTTAGAAGACCGTACAAACATCAAACACCCAAACAATAGTAATTTCACAGGGGCAAGTTAGTACGTAGCCAGAGAGTACATTACAGTTTAAAATTTGGAAGTCTGCATTGATTTGGATTACTCTACATATACTCGTGGATGTAAGAACCTATGTGGGTTATTAAATAATGTCATCATACAAGTATGTAATATCTAACTTGAACATACAATATACCATCCCAGGTTAAACTCTTTTCCTCTTTGACATATGTCTAGAAAATTTAACTTCAACAAACATACTTTATGCCTTCACACTCCGTTGACATTTTCCTGATCATGTAGATGCAAGCCAATCACTCTAACATTGTGGGACAAATTCGCAACCACTCAGGGGATAGAAATCGAAAAGGCACTCGAATCGGGTACTTATCCAACAATACTCGCAAGGAGGATACTCACGACTCCCTACCAAGGTAAACCCCACCTTTGTTATGCACAGAAATACTCCTTTATCAAATTTACTCTTTTCCCACTTTTTAGTTTTGATTTGTTTACAGACTTTCTGCATTTTTATATATACAGAACACGTACGAAACAAATACATCAAACACGTACTCACTACAAACCCTCTACAGCCTCTCTCCGAAGTAAAGAACCGCACCAAGTCTAAATAGAAAGCTGAAAGTTGAAGAGGACGCCCACAAAAAAAGGCCTAGCTAATGTTTCTGGATCTTGAAAACTTTTTTGACCCTAATCTCTTTTCCTACTGTTCTTGTAAAATATAACTACCCCAACTCAGTAGGAGGCCTTATGTCAGTTTGGTACATAGTAGAAATGATGAAGTGCAAGTGATCACTTCAAGTTTTGTAAAACAATCCCTATGTTAGAACTCTTAAGTTAGCCAAATATCATAAATGAAGTGTGGGTGATCACTTCATTTTTTGTAAAACACTCCCTATTTTGTAGTGTGTTGTATTCGTTTGGAATCTTCTACTATTGCTTGTACTTGTTGCTTGTACTTGGTGCTTTATCTGTGTTATACTGTGTTCCCTTCCATATTTTTGTGCAGGTGGAGCCGGGGGTCTCTTGGAAACAGCCTCCCTACTTCCGAGTAGGGGCAAGGTCTGCGTACACACACCCTCCCCAGACCCTACTGTTGTGGGATTCACCTGGGTTGTTGTTGTTGTTGTTTATATCGAGTATGTTCAATCTTCCTGACAGTGTATGATACATCATATACTTATATGGGCACTAACACAAAGAATTTGGGCACTCACACACAAAGTGTGTGCCAAGCTAGTGTGTGTGTGTGTGTGTATATATATATATATATATATATATATATATATATATATATATATATATATATATATATATATATGAATGGCTAGAGTGAGAAAGTTGCCGGAATTCTCTGGTTTCCCGGCCAAGTTTCCGGCAAACCACAACATTCATCAACCCAATAGAAGCTCCAACACAGCCACAAACATTCCTACGCTACCACAATCTAAAAAACTCTTTAGTCAACTGTTTAACGAAGATGGGAATACAATATTGGGCAAGGTGGAGGGAACTTTCAAAGGAATGCCATCAGCTGTTTTCTCCCTGGACGAAGATAGGAAACTCTGTAGCAACTTCAAGTTTGCGCTGGTGGGA